ATTTTACTCCTTCCTCTTTCTAATCCAGGTTTCCTTACATGTTCTGTGTAAAGATTGAACAGATAGGAAGATAAAATATGTCCTTGCCTGACACCTTTGCCTATTCCATTCTGCTTTTCCATGTTCTGTCCTAAATGTAGCTTCTTGTCTATGATACAGGTTAGGCAACTTGACAATAAAAAGCTAAAGCACACCCATTTCTTTCAGGACCATCCATATCTACTCATACTCCACGTAGTCAAAAGGTTTGTTATAATCTGTATAGTGTAGACTGATCTTTTTCTGAAATGCTTTGCTGTAGTCCAGTAGCCAATGCATATTTGCAGGATGATTTCTAGTGCCTCTTCCTTTTCAGAATCCAGCTTGGATATCAGGCATTTCTTGCTCAAATAGAATAGTATAGTATTGAAACACTTCAAGCATCACTTTGCTTATGTGAGAGATTAATGCTATGGTCCTATAGTTGCTACACTCTTTTGTATATCCTTTCTTGGGGACTGGGATACATATTTAATGTTTCCAATCTGTGGGCCATTGTTTTGTTTTCCATATTTGTTGACATATTTTTGTTAGAATTTAGACTGATTAATTTTCTGCAGCTTGTAATAGCTCTAATGGTATCCTGTCTATTCTAGATGCTTTATTCTGAAGTACTCCAAGTGCTTCCAGTGCAGCTTTTATTTCGCTTTCTAATATTGTAGGCTCTTTTTCATAGGATTCCATTTCAAAGAAGTCTGTCATCCTTTCATCACTTCTGTACAATTCTGAATTGCTTTTCATCTTCTCTTTACCTTCTCTTGGTCAAATAGGATGTTCCCTTCATTGTCCTTTAGAATTTCTAATCTAGGTTTGAATTTGATTTCTTGGACCTTCTGGAAGAGGTCTCTTGTTTTTCCCCCTTTGTTCCTCTCTTCTATTTCTTTGCACCTCTCATTCTAACATTCTTTGTGCCTTTGTGTCTCTATCTGATAGTTGCTGAAAAGTTGCATTCCGGATTCTGACACTATTTCTGTAACCTTTTTCTTTCCCTTCGCATGTCATTTGCAATGTTTCTTTTTTTTCATCCATATAGGCTTTTTGATATTTGTTGCTATATGAATTGTCTTTTGGCATTCTCCTTTAATAATGTCTCTGGTTTCAGACCACAGGTCTTCTGCCCACAGTCAATTAAGTTTTGTTTCATGGTCAGTGCAAA